CATGTACACCAAGAGTGGGGTCACGTGAAGAAGAGCTCAAATCTACCGTATTCTGTGAATCAGGGCAAGAAGTTCTAAACCGGTGTCCGCACAACCTGAGGCGGCGGGAAGACGATCTTCCGCGTGAGAGTCATGGAGATGTACGGCACTTGCTTCTTGCCATGCATGTGAGGAGATCCCGGACAATTCGACTCAAACTGCGTGGCAACTATGCGAGAAACTTCAGTCATCACACTGACAACATCCACAACAGCCATGTCCTTTTGCATCATCACATGATGCAGGGCTTGGACAAACCAGGAACCGTTCGTGGTGTTTCTCCAAGAGAAAAATCCTTCAAGAAAAGAAAAAAAAAATTAATCATCCATAAAATACAGTAAAATCTCATTACAACCCATTTTTCAGCATAAAAACGTTTGCTCAAGTCCCAATAGAAAGCCCATAGAGTAAATGTTGAACAATTTCCTTGAAATGAACTTCCCAATTCCAGCATACCAAACTTTTTTGAGAAATGCTCAATAGATTCTCTGGGTATAAATTTCCAAACGCTGAAATTTCTGATACCGAATGTGACTTCTGCCTGGTTCTTGTAGCTGGGATGGAAGGTGTAATCAATGACAAACATCCTTTCAAGTGGTTCTGCACAACATCCTCTCAGAAGGAGGATATTTCACATCATCACCCCAGGATTGTGAAACTGATGGAATGCATGATTGAAGCTACAGTATTTTCTTCTTCAAAAAAATCACTCAGCTCACAATTATGATAAAAATCTCAAAATTCCAAAAAATGAAGATCCTTCAACATTCAATTCGGGGTCTGATGTGAAAATTTTTTCAATTTCGAAAATCTTCAACAAATTATTCAGAAAATTTTTATTCTGAAGTCCCGAACGTGAGTTGCTACAATATTTTATGATATTGTTTCATTAAATGTATCAACTGGCAATACTTTACCTGGAACAGCTGAATAAGCCAAAAGGAAGTCAGCATATGCGGCCAACGAGTATTTAGGAGGACCAGAGTCTGTTTCCAAAGTGCTGATTTTCTGCAGTTTGACTCCACCATCCAATTTGTCTCCCTGACACGCCTGTGACAAAAATAAAAATTCAAACATGTATCTTGTCCTCAGAAAATTTTTGGATGGCTGATCATATTTTGTACTGTTCGGAGCAGAAAAATCTCAAGTCCAATCGAAATCAGCTGTGTGACGTTCACTAAAAAAAAATCAGCAGGCTTCTCCATTAAAAATGTTAATTTCGACAAAAAAGGAAAACGATTTCGGGGAACCATACAGAAGTTACTTGGCTCCATGATGAAATCACGTAGGAGAAAAAATCCCGCTGCCCGAAAATCCTGTGGGCCCAAAAATCTCGCAGGGTACAAAAATCCCGTATGCTACAAATTTGTGATACTATCTCTGAGTTTTCCTTCTAACCAAGCAAAGCCTTCCAACTCAAGCAAATTGATGCAAGATTTTCACTTCATACAGCAGAGGGCAAAGTTGAACTGAAAATAATTGGAAAAGTGAACAGTTTATATACAAAACAAATGCAGGAACCCAAATGAAGGTTACATTTTTCTGAGGTTTCCTCATCCGAAAGGTGAGGAAGTGAAGTTGAGGTTCTATTGAGAAAGGTAATTCCTAAACCTTGGAAGGAAACCCCTCTCACTTTCAACATTTCATAATGCACCAAATTTGCATTCCTCCCAGGCAGTTAGAAGGAAAACTCAGAGATAATATCACAATTTTGCAGTATACGGGATTTTCGGACCCCGCGAGATTTCTGGGCCAACGGGATTATCGGCCTCACGGAATTTTCGGGCCGCGGGATTTTTTCTCCCATGGGATTTTTTCCTGCACCCTTTCACAGGTAGGTAGGTGGTTAACACTTCAGAATACTATGTCAGTGGAAACAGTGGTTTTTGATTCAGTACACGAAAGAAATCTTCAGGAAAGCTTGGTAATATTGCAGGCTTCATTCTCAGTGACTCACCTGAATAAAAAACATTTTTGGCTTCCCAGCTAAACTAGGGCAGTTGGTGGCAGTGAAACGTTCCCAAAGCTCTTCAGTTCTAAAAGATTTATCCCGGGAGTACAATAAGCCTCTTTCGCCATGGCTTAAAAAGCATACAACAAGGCAACTCGCATCGAAGTGATTTTCATCGGCAACTGAAATGTACAGGAAATAAAACGTCAAATTTCGGGGAAATCTAGGGAAATCCAACAAACGAACCATCTTCGAGTCGTTGCATAAGATCCTTGTATGCCGCATTTTCGTGTACTTCAACATCAAATCCTAATTTATGGAACATCTCCTTCAGACGATCCCGATCCTCGTCTGTGCCATTTCGCAGACTCATGTTCAAATACGCATCAAAAACTTTGTGGTTGAATATCAGAGCTCTCCCACGGCGAGCGTGCGTCATGTTGTAGTACTCGTCGTGTTCGCCAGTTAAAACTAAATTCACACCAGTTGACGTTGTCCTATAGAATGCAAAAGGGAAAGAGGCAAATCAATGGAAAAAACTCGTGCGCAAGAATTAATACGAACATACCCGAACGGTCCAAATCCTCTCGCGTCGGTTTTATCCTCCGCTAGCCCATTGTCACCGGAATCGTCCGGAATTCCGCTGAAATAACGTCAGAGGCCGGTTAAAAGAGAGAACAAAATGCAACACCATACCGCACAAGAGCTCCATGAGAAATTCCCATCGATTACAAAAATCTCACAACTTGGATTAATGTAACAGAAACATCCTTTCTGATAAAGGCACAGGCATTTGTACCCACCTGACTACAATAGGGTACAAAATGAGCGCAGCCACCGTTCTAAAGCAACAAAATTTTCTTTCTCTGAAGTTTACTGGAGCTTAACTGTGGGATTCAGTAAAAAATTAAACATTTTATATTCAAAGCAAATGCTGAGATTAAAGCTCCAAATGAAGGCTACATAGTTCTCAGGCTTCCTCTTGACCTTTGTGATTATGGTGATTAACTTTCCGAGGTGGTAATCTCTTGATTATCTTTCTCAAGAGAAAGGTAATCCTAAACTTTCAATATGGTTCATCCCAAGACACACATTCACAGTTTTGTAATCCGCGGGATTACTGCTCCCGGGGGGAGCAGTAGATTTCCAGACCTACGAGATTTTTGAGCCGCGGTTTTTGTTTTTTGGCTTCCTTCACATCAGCGAACGCACTCCTAGATCGAATCAACGATTTATCATAAAACAAAAGAGCGTTCAACTTACCCTGAAAAGATGCACGCGGTAAGAAAGAGAGAGAAAAGACCAGGATTAACAGTGATGGAAAGAAGAAATCTCTGAGCAAGATAGAAATCAGAGATAATTAAATAATGCACTTAGATTATTTACCCGCTTTCCTTTGAGCCGTTAAAGCCATTTGACTGAATCTTCAACTCCGATTCTGTTCGCAACACAGGGATCGTACTCTCAGGGGGCCTAAAAAACACAGATCATTCCGTTAGCTTGACACATTATCGGCATTCAGTTCTTCACTCGTCAAGAACCTCATTTCTGTCACTGACGATGAATCTTCGGAAAGCTGATCCTTGCCAGGTGCATCAAGTTCACCACGAGTACTTTCCTGATGGCTTCTCGACCTGCGACAATGACTCATATTAATAAAAATCGCGACGAAACGTATACCAAGTATCAACTAACGTCACATGAGTATCCATGGCAAGCCACCAGTTCGACAACGCGGAAGATTCTGGAATAAGTGTTATGCTCGAACGTCGGACTCTAGCTTACGTCACATGGATGACGGGATAATCTGGAGTTCATGACATGGCGAGATAAGCAGGTCCACCAACATGGAAGCAACGAGATTGAACTCGCGCATGAATCAAACAAATCACGAATCCCAACAGGAAACAAATGGAAACGCACTTCGGGCAGCACGCGTAACGATACAGTTCAGAAGCAGGCGAACGGTTGTACAACAGGAGTTTTACATGTTTTACGGGAGTCTGGAGGCCCTGTAAGCCTCAGACATAGTTACTATGAAAATACTGAATTTTTCAGACAAAAAATCCTGCCAGGTTCTTCGCGGATCAGAACTATATTTATTGGGCTCCATGATGACTCCATACTGCTTTTGGAGTACTCGTGATTTATCATTTATTCACCCATCTCTGTACAGTACAGTGCTCTCATTCATTGTTGTTATGGTGCCTATATGAGTCTATAGAGGTTCTGTCATGGTTTCTTCGCAACTGGCTCACTTCCACGCCACTCTGCTATGGGGCTTATTCACTTCCACTCCCTCTCCCATGGACATTAATGAGTGACTTTATGAATAGCGCATGCTGTTGATGAGGAATTTTATGCTGAAATTGGTGTAAGAAGACAATGTACTATTCAATTTAGACCTAAACTGAAGTTTTCTATTTATTAAAAATAATATGCGCCATCTTGTTTTTTGGTTCCATACGTAGAAGTCTATACAAGTAATGCATTGCAGTTGAAGTCACCCACTGACAAGCGCTGTTAGCTCTTCGAGGAGGTAGCGCTGGCAATGGGAGAGGAAGCATTAAGGACCCTCTTTAAAACGACATCTACTCAAGCATGTAGGACTCTCATGTCGTCCAACCGATTCACTTGCTTCACAAGAACATCCGGATATGCCGACCAGAGGAGAGGTGGAACCAGCAGGGAGTTTCCTTGGTCACCTCGCTCCGAGAACTCGACTAGAGCACTTCAACATTTTTATTTTGTGACTTCTCGAGTATTTTATGTTGTGGTGAAAATAACACGACCGTTGATATCGTGACAATTGATCGAGGACATTTATTTCTGGCAGCAACCTTATTAAGCTCTGAGTTGATTGGCTCTTAGTTGAAGTTATTCTGGAAGTTTGCGTCGAAGCGGCGTTGAGGGTTGACGAAGGAGTTGTGTGTTGGTTGGAATGTTAGTTGCGTGAAATGTGCTGTACTGTTCCGTGATGTGGTGTATGAACGAGTTCTTTTGCTGAACAATAATTGAGTGTTGCGATTTTTCAGGCGTGAAATCATAAAAAGATGAGTGGCCGGGGACGAGGCAGAAATTTCGGCAAACCGGCGAAGCCGAATGCCTGGACTGAACATCGGCCTCCAGCTCACGGTCGCCCGAATAAGCCTTCAACTTCGAACGAGTCGAAGCAGAACGGTGTGACGCATGAGAAGCCATCGAAATTTGAGGAAGCATGTGCTCGAATCAATCGCTCCAACGAAGGCTACATTCGTTCTCATGGCTTGAGTTCTCCACGATTATCAGACGATGAAGATAATGACCTACCTTCCCTGAATAGATCCTCAATTCTCGGTGTGTAACTGAAACTTTACAGAGATTTAGTTCGAATGACGGCAAGACGTAATCCTTGTGTTTTCAGATTCGCTTTTGAAGAGATATGATGGCGACGGACTAGACGACATGTGCCGAACGAAGCAATATCTGGATGATTGTCTGCGCGGTGGAGATAAAATCGTTTGTCTCATTTGCATTGATCCTGTGAAGAAGCAAGAAGCGGTATGAACTAGCGGCTATTTGGCTGAACGAAATTGACCAATAACGTTTTAATTTTGCAGCTTTGGAGCTGTTCGGCGTGTTTCACATCATTCCATCTCAATTGCATCCAAAAATGGGCAAAAGACAGTGTTTATATGATTGGGGAAGCCCTCGAAGCCCAAGATCGTTCCCAAATTTCTTGGAGTTGCCCCAAGTGTAGGAAAGATTATGAACAGAAGGACACTCCTCGTCACTATTTGTGTTGGTGTGGAAAAACAAGAGATCCTGAAGATGACCCGTGGCTTGTTCCGCATTCTTGCGGGCAGACGTGCAAACGTGAATTGGATCCCAAGTGCGGGCATGTTTGTAACTTACTTTGTCATCCGGGGCCTTGTCCACCTTGTCCGCAAGTCGTGAATA